ACACAGACTAAGGCTTCTTATCAGGAAGTAACTTCTGAAGAGGTTTTTCTGTGAGTGTCTGTACTTTCCAGTCTTATTCTGATACAGTAAAAAGAGGTAGCTGAAGACAGGCTTTTGGACTAATTAGACTATGCTCTGTTTTGTATTTGAAAAAAAGTTTCTAAATGTAAGCTTTAGTATTATTGTAGTTTAAGTAGGTGACTCCTTCAGGAGGCAGCGTGCTGTGTGTTTTTTCCAACTGTCTTCCAAGTTAACCTTTTCTGGTTTAAGTGTTGCTGACATTTGAGATTTACTGCTATTTGGAAAATTTTGTGTGAAACTGACTGAGAGAAAATGGTGTTTTTGTTAGTCAGCCTTCATGAAGTCCTTGGATGTTAAGCCTAATATTCGTTTTATTTCTGTCAGTAGAAAGCAGTTTGGTGCTTCTGATGTCTTCACCTCCTTCTCACCCCCCAAAGAAGTTGCTTTAGTCATGTAAAAATTGCCATCAAAAGATGCCTATAAATGCAAACACAGGCGCAGAGCACCTTATTATCTTTTGTATCACAACATTGGTAATTAATTTTCATTTTCTATTTAAAAGTGGAGAGGAAATCTATTTCCAGACATCAGCTATTTTCTACTGTATGTGGCTTCCTCATGGTATTTACTCAGGGCACGCTGTGTACCATCTGCATGTGAGTAGTACTCTGCCTTTGTAAGAGTCTGCTCCAGTTTACATAGGATAGTCCTAGTTCCTATTTCTCCTTTGATAGAGAGTCCACACGTTCGGTTTATGTGGGTGCAAGAGGGTCGTAATCTCTGGAGAAGCAAAATCATGTGAGATCTTAGTACTTGCAGAAGTAGATAGTATGGGGCTTATGAACTTTTCCATACCTACTGCCGTGACCTGCTCATTCCCCATTACTCCTACTCTTCTCTTTGAAAACTAACCCCATATTCTTCATCATTTATTGCCCTGTCTCCATTAACTGTGCTCCCGTGTTCTTCTCCCACTTCCATATTTTCAAATTTTGCTTCCCAGAGTTGTAAGAATATGTAGGTATTACAAGAACTACCATGAGTTCTCTTTTCTTTCTAGTTAAGCTTTGCTACCTCACTGATCAAAAGTGCTTGCTCGAGACAGTTCTGCAGAAAAGCATTAACTTGTTAGCATTAGGCTTTGTGTCCCTCTTAACTGGTAACTAAATAATCCATGGGGCACCAGGGCTACATCTGTACTAATAATTAATAAAAATTAAACAAAGGAGTTAGTTTCTGGCTTGGTGGCCACCTGCTGTGTCATGGGTTATGTTACAATGAAAGTGTTTTTAACCCCCTCCCTACCACACAGAGGTAGGAATGTCCCTGCCTCTCTCTGCTTGTCTGTGCCCTATGCCCAAGCATTTGTCAAGGAAAGTACTACTTTCTTGGGCCCAAACCGTAGCAAGGACCATGTGAAGGGTCTAACTGTATGTAAGGCTGTGTGGTCCAAAATTCAGGCGCACTGCCAGACCCTGCTTTACAAGTAAAGAGGTAGCCAGGTTCTCAGATATTTAAGGCTCTGCATTGTGAGGGAAGAGCCCGAACACCGTTCTTCTGTTGGGATCTTACACTGATGTTTGTGAATCAGACCTTGCTGTTGTGTGCAGCTTCTACAAGACAAATAGCCCAACTCTTTGCCTCTGCAATGCAATTGTAATTTTCTCTGGAATACCACTGAAGGTGAGAGTTTGCAGATTTACTATTAACATGAGGCTCATGGCAGAAACAGCTGAAGGTCGAAACACACAGTTTCTGAGGGAGTGCTGCTTTCACTTAATTGTATGTTCTTTCACCAGGGAAAAATACTGAACGAATGTATTTGGTCTGGCTGAAATGGAGTTAATTTTCCACATAGCAGCCTTCATAGTGCTGTACTTTGTATTGGTAGCTAGAAGGGTGTTGGTGACACACCAGTGTTATGGCACAGCATTAAGGCTGTCTCTCCAGCTTTCCTCCCTCACCAGTAAGTTGGGAGGTGGGCAAGATCTTGGCGGGGGACATAGGCAGGACAGCTGACCCAAACTGACCAAAGGGATTTTCCATACCGTACCATGTCTTAAGCAATAAGAGAGAGAGACAGGAGGAGGAGTAGGGATATTTATTATTATATTGCTTGTCTTCCAGAGCAACCTGAACTCCTAATTCCCAGGAAGTGGCTGGATATTGCCTTCTGATGGGAAGTAGAGAACAAATATTTTGTTTTCCTTCACTTCCATGTGCTGCCTTTATCTTTACCCATGAGTTTTTTTTCCACCTTATTTTCTCCCCATTGTCCTGCTGAGGAGGGCCGTAATAAGAGTTGCTTGGTGGGCACCTGGAGTCCAGCCAAGGTCAACCCAGCACAGCACTCTGCTGCAGCACTGGCTCACCCTCTTTTGGGAAGTCCTCATGGTCTGTGTCCATTCAGGAAAGCAGTGTTCCACACAGGGGCTACTATGATCTCCCTTATATGAGAAGGATAGAGATGATCCAGTTGCCAAGTTCTTCTTCCTCTGTAAATCATCAGAGCCTCTGTCTGTTGATTTCTTGATGAGTCCCTATCAGATGATCAGATTTCTGCCAATTGACTTTGTTTCCAAGGCAACCACTCTCTTGACAAGCCAGTTCCCTTCAATAGTAGGTAACTTATTTTTTAGAGTAGGTTGATTACATTTTAACTGCATAGTTCTTAACAAGATATTGGTGCTTAAGTTTCAGCCTTGCACGCAAGTGAAAAGATAACAAGCAAAAGCCTCTGTAGCTAAAATGGAGTTGGCACCATAATAAAAGATATGTAGAGGGATTTTATTACCTTCACAAAACTCATAAATAGTACATAATTCCTAAAGATAAGCCTGCTCACTGGTCATTTGCATTTTCGGTTGTGTTCAGTATATTCTGTTTTTTTGAAAATAATGAGAGTTTCAGTTAAGCTGTTTAACTTAGGAGGATGCTTCCTGAAAGTTCAGATAGTTTTGTAAATACCAGCAATCTGCTTTCCTACTCGCATAGGCCTCTAAACTGGGTGATACTGGTATTTAAAAGAGATAATAGGTTCCAACCAACTTTTTTTTTTTTTTTTTACACAGTTCAGACTTTGACGTGGTCTTGCCCTTCATCTCATGTATGCGGTGTTTCTCTCTGATAAGTGTTCAGGTTACCACATCCTTTGCTTCTGTCTTTTCTACTCATCTACTTTTGTTTCCTGCAAAACTTGTAGGATTGTCTTTGTTGAGGTTTCTTAGATTCAGCCTTTGGGTTTATATTTTGCAGGAAGATGTCCTTGCAGGCAGGATATAGTTACAAAGCTCTTTTTTTCTGAGGAAAGCAAACTCAAACATCTATATTCATATAGGTAGATAGCGCCATCATGCCTATGTAAAATTATGAATAATCTGATTTTGTAATATATCTGGGTTAGCATGAGGTGACTGAATTTGTTTTTCTCTTGCTTATCTAGTGTCCTTTCAGGTTGTAGTCTTGATTTCAGGGATGGATGAACCTTGTACAATAATTACTTAAACATCTGAAGTTTGTAGGACAGGTTATTTGCATAAATGGAAGCAAATTTTGATTTATATTAATAGGCTGAACTTTGTTTAATGTGTGCTATAGAAATCCTCTTTCTTACAAATGTCAGTCTATTATTTTTTTTACTATTTTTTTTTAAGCATTGCTTCCCCAGCAAGGTAGAAATTGCCATGTATGAACTGAAATAATCTCCAGGTAGTTTGTGTAGGCATTTGGATTTTGGAATGCTTAAATTCTTGTGTTGTAAAAAGAAAGCATTATTCACTGTTAGTGATGTTCATGAAGCAAGTGATCCTTTGTAATGTGATTGCTTGGGAAATTTTTGACTGATCATAGTGAGCTATCCAGTCCCTTTTGTAGCGAAGTGATCTTATAAGAGCTTTGTCTTTTATTCTGTCTCCATCTGTTGATAGGATGACTTACATCTTCTGTCTGGACTGGCAGACAGGATTTAGGCGCCAATCCAGCAAACCACTTAAACAACAGTTTAGCTTTAAGCCTTATAGAAACTAAACAGGTAAAAAAAAACAAACAAACAAACAAACCACAAACACCAAAACTGAAAAAAAAAAACCTCACTGCTAGCGCACAGCTGTTATCTTTAGAAGGAAATTTAGGAGTTTAGGTTTTATTGGTACATGAACTATAAATAGAATAAAAAGGGTTAAACATACACTGAGAATAGAAAAGGTAGATTAAGGGTCTTTAGTACAGAATTTAAAGGAGGAAAGATCCCTGTTTAATAGCAATGACAGTCTTTATCTGGTGTATTTCTTTAGGTCAGTGCTGCTGGAGTGTGTACCTAGGCAAATAGAATAGGTTTATCGCAGATATATGTGGTAAGTTTCCTCTGGCCCAACCAGCAAGAATTACACACTGTTGCTTTACAAAGAAATGACAACATACCTTTTTCTTGTACTAACAGAATTAGTGACCACTACTCAACAGTACTTCACAGGCAAACCTGGATATTCTAATGTTTCCGTGAAAGGTTGCTGAAGTGTTTCTTTGCAAATTATTCTCATAATATCTTTCAGAAGTGTTAATTCTATCAGAAGAAATCACCGTCCTTGTGAATGGATGAACTTGCAAGTTTTAAGCTAGTTGAATTTATATTCATTTAATAAACTGATGATAAACCAAAAATTTGTTCTTAATTTAGTTTAGTTCAGCTTTCAGATTTATTGTACAAGTGCAAATGCTTTAGGTTTTGTGTTCTATAATAGTGACCTCTTGTGGTGAAAATATGTCAGGTTTTCTGGTAAGCTTTCTGTAATATATACTGGAGGAAGTTGTATTTATTATCATTTTTAATGAGTAGATAACCTACTAACGTAGTAAAATAACGTATAATCTTCTAAAATTAGTTGCTAATATGCAGATCTCATACTGAGTGCATATGAAGGAAGAAGCATTTTGAGCACTGTATTCTAATATACATTGTGTGTCTCTACTGTATCTTTTAGTGAGCAGATGAAAAAGCCAGGCACAAGTCCGTCATGGCCAAGAAGTACAGGCTGGAAGGGAAGAGAAACAGGTACTTCATAAGGCATTTCAATCTCCAGTTGAAAAAATATGTGAATTACAGTGAAATAGAAAGATCTTTTTCTTCCGTATTTACTGAGCAATATTTTGGGTTTTCTCGGTGTATGTGTTTTTTTTAGCATTATTGGAAAAGAGAAACAGTATTCAAGAGATCTTGACTCAAAATTGGTTGCTTTTTTCCCCTCTTATTTTACTCATATGTAGACTTAAGAATTTGCCAGTCTGTTAACACCTTGTTTGCCCACTGCTTTTTGTAAACTGGCGTAGTTGCACAGAAACTAGTGAAGTCATGCCAGGCAATATTGTTTGAAGATACAGATTCTGCATTGCCCTGTAGGGATGCATTTTGCTGATTTTACACAACAGATTTTAATTAATTTTTCTTCATAGCTAGCACATTTCATACATGGCAAGTGCCTATTTGAGAGTCTGGTATGGAAAGCTGAAGTTTCTGCTCTGCTATTATTATGCTTTATTACTATTCTTCTAGAACTAAGAAGATGCATTATTCTGGATCATTCTGGCAAAGGCTGAGAATATTTACATGTCATGGGAGTTAGTATTCTGTGGGGCTGTATTTTCTCTCTTTATAGGTCTTTTAATTTATTTGTGCTGTTTTATTGGTGCTATTGAAAATATAATATGTATTATTAGGATTGTTTCTTTTTTATAACATTACGTAGCTTCCTTAGTTTGTGCATACCTCATCTTTAATCCCAGAATAAACGGTGGGATAGCAGTGGGAATTCTCAATCATTTCTTCTCTATAGTTGGGTCCTGGGAGAGCGTTCATTTTCAGATTATTTCTATTTTCTGATATGATTTATGTTTATACTTTCACATTTTAAAGAGGAGGTAGACTGGTTTAATATAGATATATTCATAGCCACTCAGTATTCCGTGAAAAGGCTAAACGTGGTAAGTCAGGCAGTACACAGCTTTTGAAAGCTCAGTGTTGCTAAGGCTCTTGTATTTACATGCTAAAAACAGCAACCAATAAATGTAGACTGATTAGTGACTTTTTTTTTTTTTTGACCAGAATGCAAAGCTGTGGTTAAGACCTTTGAAACACTGAGACAATGAACTTCAACTTGCTGAATTCTTTTGCTTGAGTATTTTTGCTGTTGAGTTGTGATTCACTCAATTAGAAAGTTCAGGGCAGCTTCTGCAATATTTTAAATACAGCTAATGCTGTAACTTTTCATCAGCACCTTAAAAATCTCCCAGGACTGAGCCATGTGCAAGTTTACAATTTCTTAATGTTGCCTTTTTTCATATTTTCAATGTATTTTCTGATTATTCTTATTGCTGGGATTAATATTTTTTAGTAAAAGCTGATTATGTTTATTTTCCTAATTACAACAAAAGCCGTTACAACTTTTAGGTTGCTATATTTTTCTGATGAATGTGAGACAAGTGCAGCAGTGGCACAAAAAAATCAGTTCTTTTAGTTCTGAACTAAAAATTGAATGGCTTTGTTTGGTTTTTTTTGTTTGTTTGGTTGTTTTTTTTATTTTTTTATCTAGTAAGGAGTGTGGTCATATGTGCAAATGCATACGTGAGTTATTCTATTTCTTGCTTAGTAAAGTTAAGCATGTGTGTACTTAGAAAGTGAGTCCCATCTTTCAGTTTGAGAGGTAGCTACAAATTGGAAAGAAAATAAATAATTGAGTCAATATGTGGGTTTTGTGGCAGGAAGGAACAGAGCAAACTATTCTAGTGTTCTCACTTCAGCTGTGCTCTTATATTATCCAGAGCAGAACTTTCACTTCATTGTCAATGCTGTGTAGTGTTTTATTAATTAAGCTACTCATTGATCTGAATACGAGTATTAACTCTCAATCTAGAAAATGGAAAAGGTCTGCAAAATAAGTAATATTACCTAATAACATGTACACTAATATGTATATATGCACCAACCAATAATTATAGTTATTGTAATAACATACTTACCTAGTTATTACTTATGAAACAGCAGCATTTTTGTATAATCTGATGAAATAGATACAATTGATAGATTAATTCTGTGTAAAATATAAGTAGACAGTTAAAGTTAATAAGGATTAAGTTAATACAGTCTGGATTTTTTATTTTTTTTAAGAACAAGTTTTCAAATAGGAAGGTTTTAATTGTTTCAGTATTCCAAGAAATAACTCAGTAATTTTTTCAAGTTCTGAGGCTGTTCTCATGATGCAAACCTCTGAATGTCAGTGTTCTCATGCAGTACAGTATTTTTTATGTTAATGGTTATATTAAGAATTTACATTGTCATTTAAATACAAGAGCTAGTAATGAACAGTAGGAGACGCTTTCTTCTGACAAATCTGTCACTTAATGTATTCTATATTAACTATATTCTAGTCTTAATGGTTTTCTTCGTGTTATTTAGTGGAGCTGTGTGACTCTTGCTTCCCTATTCAAAAAACAAACAAAAAACCAAACCCCATTTATAACAACAACTTTGGTTGCCTGCAAGATAAGGAGCTTAACCTAATCCTGAACTCCAAAAATATGCCTGCGTACACCTTGTAAGCACTTGTTAGATCCTTTAAAACTCGAGTTGTACGGAAACTCTGGCTCCGCAGTGGGCCAATGGGCAACACCAGGATTCTGCCACTTCACATAGTGCCATGTGAATGTGAAAAGCATGTTCAGCAAATTGAAATAATTCCCAGTGATTACGAGGGAAACATGCATTTTACAAAATTTAGCTAAGAAGTTCTCAAAACTAATTGCATGAAGTGATTAGAATTTTAACAGGATGTAATAACTAAGAAGATTGTTTTTTCTCTAACTGACCAGAGTCTCAGTTAGTGAAGCTTAATGTAACATTGTGCATGTGTCCTAGATAAAAATGTGCGATCCTGGAGGATTGCCTGTACTACAAATGTCTTCTAACACAGAATAAGTTGTCATGTGGACACAGAGCTGAAAAGTAGGAAGACATGTTGATGTAAAAGTAGTCATTACCTTCTAATTCAGCAATCAAATGAAACAACGTCAGTAAACAAAACCAGATCTGGCTTTACAGTACAGCTTTACATATCGCAACATTTATCCATCTAGTTTTGTTAGAAACTTGTTTTTGAGAAAAGGCAAATAAAAACAAAAGCTTGAAGAGGTAGGATAATCTAGAATATAGCAAAAATGTGACTTTTTTTATTATTTCTTTTTTCTGACTGATGAGTAAAGTATTTGTAGCTATTCGTTTTTGTAGAAGTTGAAACCTTTGCTGAATATGTGCTTTTGTTTTGAATGTATTTTGTAGGCTTACAAGTTGAAATGGGAATAAAAGAATCACAAGAGGAAGAAATCTTTTGGCATTTAAAGATTCTACCAATTCTTCATGAACTGGAAAAAGGTAGGTAACTGTTGTTGAAAAGGTGTATTTTCTGTACTATTTCCTGTAGGAAACATGGGACTTATTTGCGTTTACTACAAAAGAATAGCAGTAGTTGAACTATGTAGCTGTTTATGCTTTCATATGTTCTGTGACTTTAAAGTCTAAAACTGGCCTGGGCACCTCTCTCTGGTTGGCCTTGGTTGAGCAGGGGGTTGGACTGGATGACCTCAGATATCCCTTCCAACCTCAACCATTCAGTGATTCTATAAAAAAAATAAAATATAGTACTGGTTTAGAGAAGATCTTGTCTTGTAAGAAAAGAAAGAAAAAAACCCTGCCCCAAATCTCTTGAATTTTAAAAATAGGCAAGACTTTTTCTTTTTCCTGTAAAGCGAACATGTACGTGATTGCATGGTGTTGAGATGCAGATTTGTAATAATTTACAGCAGGTTTTATTTTTGTATTTTTTAAATAGTGTCTGAGGGACTCTGGTAAAGAGGTAGATGACTTTCTTATCAATAGCCAAACAGTCCACTCAGATAGATCTTGCACTTCTACTATTCATTGGAAAGTTCTAATAAATTATTACGTTCACTTTTTCTTAATCTCAGCAAGGGTTCACCTATTAGCTTATGCATGTAGGCAGAAAAATATTCCTTAACTGCTGCTTTTTCACATGACATGTTTGGTGGAGCTCTTTAAAGAATATGTTCAGTAACAGTTTCCTGATAGATATTTAGTCAGTGTGATTATTAAGCATTAAAGGTGAGTTTCATTTTAGGTTTATGTATCATTTTGCCATTGTGATTTCTTGGCTCAAGTTTTTTCTTTTTGTAAGAGCAGAAAAACCATGTTTCTGAGAATCACATCATTTTAAGAGATTCATTGGGTGCCTTATTTTTGTTGATGTGCCACCCATTCTTTCTTTTGTTCTTCTGTTTCTTTGTCTATTGAGATGTTCTGAAAAAGGTTGTACTGATATTTATTTTTTTATTTTTGTCTCCCTTCCCATTCCCTTCAAATAGAAGACAATGTAGAAAATCTTTGTCTGGCTTGCACCAAGCTCTATCAAGCCCTGGATGAAGAAAATATGCTTGGAAAAAGATTTAAAAGAAGAAATATGCTTCTGAAGATATTATATAAACTTGTAGACATTGATTCAGACCCACTTTGCCTAAAGCTGGCAAAGATTATTCTGTCTGTAAGTGTTTCTAAATGTTGTTAGAATAGGAAGTTCAAAATCATGAACTACAATTTGCATTTAATTTTCACTTCATACTTTTAAACTGTGTCTATAAACTAATCCTTTCCTAAGCACAATTTCTTGCCACACAGATACTAGGCTCCTAGTCATCCAGATCAACACTTGTTGGACCCTATTTTTTGCAAAGACATTGCATCTGTGGGAGGAAGGATATACATAAAATAGAATAACTGGTGCATATTGGTAGACATATTGCTTAGGCATGGAAAAGGGACAGTGTCCTAAGCCAGGATATGCATGCAGGGATTTAAACAAAACAATAATTAAAAAAATTACACATGAAAATGAATCATAGAGTCATAGAATGGTTTTGATTGGAAAGGACCTTAAAGATCACCTAGTCCCAACCCCCTGCGATGGGCAGGGACACCTTCCACTAGACCAGGTTGCTCAATGCCACATCCAGCCTGGCCTTGAACAATTCCAGGAATGAAGCTTAGTTTTTTAATAGCATCTTGACCATATTGAACATGTTTATTTGAACATGACAAAATTGTTCTTTCAGAAAGAAGGTATAATTATCTATTTTCTCTAGTATTTCCTCTTAAAACTCTCAGTTAATTGGTACTCTTGAACCTATTGGTTCAGCTTCTAAGTATGTGTGGACAGTCCCTGGTGAAAGGATACTAGCTAGCACAATATGTGTGTGTGTGTTGGGGGGAGGGTATGTGTTTCCTCTAAAGGTATATATGTTATTTTTATCAGAAAATATAAATTTAGATACCACATAGATGTCAAGTGGTGCTTATTAAAAAAAAAAAGTACTGTCACAGACATTTTTCTGTGGTATGTTTTAAAATCATCAACAAGATAAAAAATTGTCCTTTTCATGATCTCTCAACAACCATTAGTACATCATAATACCGTATTTTCTGAGGTTTGAGAACAACTTTGATTATGACATGTGTTGTTGCACTGGAGTTCCTTATGCATGTCCATAGATACGAAACCAGTGAATATGTGCAGAATTTCTTTGTAAGAATGAATTACAGAAAAAAATCTACAAGTTATTGATATACTGCAGAGAATACATTAAAAGTTTTTATATCATCTGTTATTTTAAAGTCAGCCAGCACAGTTTGCTAAAGAGATCTTAAACTAGCTAGGTTTCAGAGTCCTTTAATTCTGCAAACTTGACAGTTTGGCTGAGTGTGCTGTCAGGGTTTCGGTTGGAATTTAGTAGTTCTGTGAGAATGCAAGTTTGCCATGGTGTCTGAACTTGTAAAATGTTATGGTACTTTTTTGTATGTAGATCTTGGTTGTGATTTTTATGTGCTTTACATTCTTTACAGATGAAAGTGGATGGAAAAAATCTTCTCAGTGTTTGCAAGCTTGCATTTAAAATTTGCAGGAATGAAGAAAATGATTACATCATTCAAAATGATGGTTTGTTGGGTATGTATTCTGTTCTTGTATATAAGTTAGGTGTTGGAATGCAGTAGTCAGATCTTTCAAGAAACATTCTCAGAGTTAACTTAGTCATGCATTAAAAGTTGCTTACTAGGTCAAACTAACAGTCCATCTAGTCCAGTATTCTGTGTCTAATGATGGGGACAGTTAGGGAGAGTGTGGAAGCCCACGTATTTTCTTTGATCCATTTCCCTTGTACTATCATAGCATCTAGAATTGTTATGTTGTATTAGGGACATTAGATGGTGCATCCTTGCCTAATCCTTCTGAGCTTCTGTTTATAGACCTCTTGTTCATTAATTTGCCTAATTCCTTTTTGAACTTTCTGCTTCTGTCTGTCTCTACAATCTCATAGAGCAGTAAGTTTCAGAAGTTCTCTGTCTGCTGTTTCAAACCTATCTACTTTTAATTATGCCCTTGCTTGTAGCTTTGCATGATTTAGAAGAGTTTCTACAGTCAGCTGACCTTCCACCTTCATGATTTGGTAACCTGCACTCTTATCGCATATCTTTGCCTTCTCCTTTTCAGACTTGGGTATCTCAGCCTTTTAGCTGTCTCTTTGAAAGAATATTGTGTCATTCTCTTGGTTGTTTTAGTAGCCCTTTTCTGTAACTTCTCCAACTCCAGCAGATCCTTCTTGAGATGTACAGAACAAAGCTGTCCACAGAAGTCAATGTGTCTGCACCAATTTTTATACAAGTGAAATAATGCTGTCTGTGGTGTTGTCCATCATCGGGAAGGGTATTGAGAACAATCGTTGCCTTTTTAGCTGCCTCTGCATGTTTACCTGATGGTTTGGGAGAATTGGCAACAGTGGCTTTAAGATCTCTTTTGTTATTGTAATTGCATTTGTATCATACACACACACCTTACAAATAGCAGGAAAATGACAGTCTATGAATGATACTCAGTATCAATTGGTGGTCATTCCTTTCATTAAAACTTCACTATGTTTTATTAATGTAGGCTTTGATTTTGCAAATAATCTTTTTTTTTTTTTTTTGTAGCATGTGCATAAGTTAAAGCATATGCGTATATCTGCTTAAATAGATGAGAGTATTCACGGTCTTAAGAGTTTAGTATATAAGTGTTGTCAGAGATAAAGACCAGATAAACCTTTCCAGCAGTAAGATCCACAGGAAAGGACTTGGAGAGAAGAGAACAGCCCAGGTTGCTCAACTGACTTTGAATACTGAGAACTACAATTTTGTAGAGATGAGCATCATACAAAAATCTGAACGAGCTGAGTGGCTGTCTGTTTAAGCGCTGGGTTTTTTGATCTCATTTCCATGTTTACTCACTTTTCTTTCACTTGCTCATCTTTCCCTGAATTTTAAAACTAGTGAAGGAAAGATGCTTTTGGTAGGTGTTTTCTTGTTTGTTTATTCAGTCTGCATTTTTGACCCACCTTATCCAGGCTGAAGACATGGACCTCATCATAATCTGGGTTGTCATCATAATCAAGATTCCTTATATTCAGTTTATTTTTGTTTCTCTGGCCCTGTGAACCATTTATGTGCATCTGGAGCAGCTTGAGAAGAAGAAAGAAATTAACTGTTTGTTCTAAAATAAACAACTACTGTTCAAGACCCAATTTGATACTGAGCAGAACAGGAACCTGATTTCTCACATTGCCACAGCCCAATTGATTTAGCTGACCACTAGGCATTTGATGAAAGTGGGAGTTGGAGCAAGAGCCTAGAGTGTGTGTACGTCAACCATATACACCCATGTACTTGGAGAAAGTTTCAGCTTGAGTTGAGACTGAAAAAACTTTAGAAATCTGTTCAGTTTAATGAGGTGGGAAAATGTTATTCAGCTGAATGGAACACAGGAAGCAGAATTAAATATCAATCAGTTACTAGAAATTCAAAATTAAAAAATGGGATAGGATTACTTATTGAAGATACCAAATTCAGAATGTCTGTTTGACTGTGAAAGATACATTGAGCTTATGCTAACAGCTGTTAATTTTAACATTTCAAATATCTGACAGTGGTAGCATAAAGCAAAACCTTTACAGTAACTTTACCTACATAGAAAGTAAATCTAAAAAGGATATGAACAGACTTCAGATGTGAGATTTGAGGTAGGCACCTATGCTTTTTAGTGCTTCATTTGAGATGTTGAAGACATTTGATTTTTAAGAAAGTAGTAGAATAAACCTCTCAAGAATGTCTGAAGTTTAGTACACAAAATTACACACACACACTCGCTTTTGCAAATCTTGACCGAGATTTTCAGTGATTACTCCTATGTGTGTAGCATAGCAGTGCAGGTTCTTGAAGCCTGAGAGAGCAAAAGTCAGGCCCATTGTCTTGTTTGTCAGTAATGGTTTCCTGGTTTCAATCCAAATGCCCAAGTTTTCTGGCCCACTTATTAGAAATGTAACAGTTCAGTCTGAGTTTTTTTTCCAGTTATAAATCTCTTCAGTAACTTGACTATATCAAATATTAATATTAGGCTTTCTGAACAATTATTTTCCTTTTAGATTGTTTGTTGGAGGTTCTGAGAACTGAAGATCTACAAAAAAACAATGAAGCTCTCTTGTATTGCATGGGAGCTATAAAATTCATGTCTGGAAATGCAGTACTCCTTAATGAAATGGTGAAAAAAGGAGCTGTTGAAATGTTGCTGCAATTAATGAAGCAGATTAATAATATAAAAGAAAATGACAGATATTTCTCCAACTTGGGGCACCTATTAGTACAGGTTAGCATTTACTTTTATTTCTAAAAGTACACACTTAAAAAGTAAATTCAAAATTTAATTAAAGGTGGTAAGATAACCCTGTGTGCCACAGACAGAGTTGTACCTGTATTTGAATAGTCTTTAAGAAGCTTATATGAAGTTGTTCATGACCTAAATTTAATTATCATAGATATTTTTGTGTAGTCAATTTAAAGGCTTTAGAAATTCTGAAGTTAACAAATATTTTTATGTACATAATAAACCAGTTTCTTCTTATTACTTTATAGTGCTGTTAATATTCAGGATATTATAGTAAACAGATAAAAATGTGTTCCCTGTCTAAATTCTTTAAACTGAAATAGTAAATACAAACTGGTTTTACAATACTTTGGGAGGTGACAAAACACTTTTTATTACAAGAATAATATATTTCAAAGAATGCATAGGAAAATATAACTGTTTCTCTGACAAAGTGTTTTTGAAGAACTGATTTAAGGAAAAGGTATGTGTAAAAGCCAACACTTTTTGAATCATTTTGAAGGCAGCAAGCTCAAAACTGTCTTTTCACATATAAGATACCTTGATGAGGTAGTGGATGCGATGTAGCTAAATCTTAAGGTATGTCTAGGATGCAGGGTTTTTTTTGTATTTGTCAAGGATTTGGCAGGTAGGTTTCTGGCATTTGTTGTTGAAATTGTTGAAGTAAAGAACAGTGAATGATGTAATTGTAAAGTTTTGGGGGACTTCCTAGGAAAACACACTGAACAATTTACTGAGGTCATGTTTACATTCAATTTCTCTACTAATTATGCCAGGTTTTTTTTTCATTCTCTGCTAACTTGCAAGGGGTTTTATGCTACTTGAAATTATATGAGAAAACAGCTTACGTCATCAAGTTACTATTACTGGTTTTTGTCTATTTATTTTAGTGGAGCTATGAGGTGTGTCTCTCGAGGATAGTCATAAACCAAACAAACTGGGATATGCTAGAAAGTGTTGAATGAAATGGGAGATGCTAGAAAACGCTGAATGAAATGATGTGGCTTAGTACGTACGTTTGGCTAAGAAAGTCCCAAAGTGGCAAATTGCTGAAGAATGGAAGAATATGTGATGAGACTGGAAATTTTGTGCTTGTCATGTTCCTGTTTTCTTTCCTATGTGGTCCTGTCATCATTAAATTCCTATATAAATCACAAAATTATCTTTTATACACTTCTGTCTTTAGAATTGGCAATGTTAACTTTCTTGTGGCACTGTGAATTCTCCAAACAGTTCTTCCCCTGAAAAATGGTAGATTGAGATTAGGAATAAGTTCTTTACTGTGAGGGTTGTGAGGCACTGGCACACATTGGCCAGAGAAGTTGTGGCTGCCCCATCCCTCACAGTGTTCAAGGCCAGATTGGATGGAGCTTTGAGCAACCTGGTCTAGTGGAGGGTGTCCCTGCCCATGGGAAGGGGGTTGGAACGAGATGATCTTTCAGGTCCTTTCCAACCCTAATCATTTCATGATTCTATGATTTATAAAATCATCTATAGTAGTGCAGATATTTAATTTTTCTTCTTCCTGTGAGGAAAGCAGTACTTCCTGCTGCTATGTGACTTTTTCGTATCAGTTTCTTTAACAAATTTACATTAATGTGCACTATTTCTTACATGTGAGTTAATTGTTCAGTTCTTATAGACAGGCATGGGAATAGTTCTGTCTTCAGGTATATAGTATTGAAGAAGGTTTTGTCTGTGATTTATGTTTTCTGAATAAAGGGAATTTTTGTGGCATACTTTAATTTGTAGCGAAAGATCAAATATCCAGTGGCATACAGAAAATAATGAATAAATACAAGTCTTCAGGAATAAAGAGAAAATTATATTGGAGGAGAAAACACCTTAAATAGTCATAGTGGTCTCTGAGAGAGGCTCTGCCATCTTTTAATGCTGGTGAGTGAAGGAGCTCAGTTAACTGGTACCAACTTTCTGTTCTTTAACTGCATAATTGCACAATCACCAGATGGCAGTGTTACACATAATCTTGCCAGGTCCTTTTTGTGGGAACAAACTGATTTCTTCAGTGTTACTGAACAGATTTTATGTAGAAATTCCACAATACAAGAATAAAAATATTTGTAATAATAATAATTATTTTTCCTTAAGAGAGGACATGAAACCAAGGTCATTTTTGACTCATGTTATGTTGCTTCACTTAATAGTCTGATTATATTTGTATGAAATATGGTAATGCTTATTCAAAAGCCAAGGCTTTTGAAGTGTTGCTGACAAGACTTAACAAGTATTCCATGTTCTTTAATTGAAAAGCGCTTAAATGTCTTCTCCTTTAAAAATAGCATTTGTCTGCTGTGAAATTTTTCTGTTTGGGTGAATTTGATCTTTTGCATGGCAACATAAGGATTAGGGCTGGTGAGGATTACTAGAGCCAATTGTTATGCATTTCTTCCTGAATCATGGCATCTGCTTGAAGGAATCAGAGTATCTCTGGAATTCACTTGCTGTCTGGCTAGTTTCTATTAGTTTCTTAATGTGTACTCTTCAAATTTTACTCGCGTACTAGCTGTTCTGTTGAATTTCATTGTCTTGCACATTTAAATGTATACATTATTTTGCATTGCTTTTCCTTTCCAACTTTTTATTGCAAAGTTTAGCTAGACCTCAACAAGTATCATCCTAAGATGAATGTGAACGTCTTGTATGTATGTGAGCACTGAATGGAGTCTTCTGTGTCTATTCCATTTGGCAGGAGTTCGTCCATTAAAACTTCTGAATAGCGAAGTATATATTGGAACATTTTTATTTTAAAATATTTCCCCAGTATTGTGTTGATTTTTGAAGCATTATGACTTGTGTTATGCTTGTGAATGCATATCTAGAAATGTATTTTTTACAGTTGTTCAGTTAAAATAACAAGAAACTCCAGGTGTCTTTGTAAAGTATGCGCAATATGAAGCAAATGGCTTCCACTGATTCAATTTCTGTTTATTCTGAAGATAATATGCATTTCATATTTAATTCTAAAGCTAAATCCATTTACGTATCATGGTCACATTATATCACATTTTTTTTCCCCCTCTGTACCTTGCTTCTCTCATTTTGACACTGTCCCTTCTCCCGTTCTTCCATCACAGAACATTGAGCAGTAACTGAAGATGTATACAGTTTTGTCAAATTTGTTGAAGCAGGACAGTGAATATTTAAACAGTTTGAGAATGGGCTGAGTAGTGCATAGAATCCTATGAGCAAAAGCTCCTCAAACACAGCAACTTAACCTGCTCTTTGCCAGATTTTTCCTTTGAAATTAACAATTACATGTAACTGGACAGGAGGTCCAATTCAGTGATAAAATACTTAATTTCCAGAGGGGTTTTTGTGATAACAAAAAATTTAAACAGCTTTTGCGTCTTCACATTATAGTAAATTCTGGTTTAGATCAACCATTAACTTGCATGTTGTTGCCTGTCTGACCTTGGCATTTGAATACCCTTACCTTGGAAGGGTAACATTTAAAAATATGCAATAGATTATTCATTTTGCATATATCTAGCCTACAAGCGATTAGATATTTAATGCTTAAAATGCCTTGAAATAGAACAATATCGTCTGAAAATATTTTGTTTTCTCCAAAATAAACTTGAGGACTTTAGCTTTTCATTTTTACTGTTCAAATAGTAGATTTGTTTTGATTAATTTCTAAAATTTTAGATCACAGTAAATATTGTTGCCTTTTAAAATAAATTTACCTTAGTTTTCAACTTAGTTATTATCAAAATATATATATTATCAAATATATAATATATAGTTATGTATGCTATATATAACTGATATATATAAAGCTGATATATATATCATATATAATATGATATTATATCTCATATGATATATATATACACACAATGTATATATTATCAAAATATATACAAAGGATTACTTTGTAAGACTTAAATGTAAATTTGCAAATTTGGACATTATGCAAAAAGTCACTTTATGGACAACATTTAACCTAATTTCCAATTGGTATATGCTCATATAGATGCATACAAGATTTTTAAACGTATGGAAGATCATGTTTCCCTCAGAGAAGGAGGCTACATGCAGGCAAAGACCAGTATCAAGCTTTCATTTTCAAGCACTTAATATACACAATTTTGTTACTCACACATTTCCTGTTACAATTTATTGGTAGATACGTCCCTGCAGAATGTCAGCAGAGCATTCAGACTGCCTTAGACATTACGCGTTAGACGTGAGCTTTATTAAATTTTCGGAACAGCATGGATTCTGCTGTAAGCGGCTGTGATTAATATATCTTCAAATATTGTGTTTGCAGCTGACAGCTACCTTGCGAAACTTGGCTGACTTGGCTCCGGCGAGACGCCAGCTCATTCGCAGTGGTGCAGTCTCTGAGCTCTGTGTGGCGCTAGAGCAGCGCTTGAGGGATAAGGATGTGTGCACCTACCTTGTCAGGATATTCAGGTATGTGTAGAACGCAGTCCTATTTCTTCATGCAGTCAAATTGGTGTTACTGCTTCGAGTGACCCCGCTAAAATTGGGAGATTTACATTGAATTGTTTTCTTAAAAACTCCGTATAGATTTTTTTTTAATGATTTTGTACAATAATTGTGTCTTTATTAATACTGATAGAATTGTTTAATTATAGCCATACAAACTTGAATTCGTTGTCCCTGTGAAAAATGTTTTGTTGTATTGTGTCATTCTTTGATCCTATAAATTCTGATCAAGATTTTTAAGGTACCATTTCTTATATTTTAAAGCTGCAAAAATTTTATGTTAGGCCATGTTTAATAAAAATGAGATCAATTACACAAGCTTAAATGGCATCAGGGACTGTGTTTTATGAAATAAAATGCAAAAGAGAGAAAATGTGACCAGTGTTCATTGTTTTGAGCTGTCAGAGTGTGTTTGAGATTAATCTGTGGGATCAGGGCTTGAGTGTGCTCCCATTTTATGAGCAGCTCAGTGGCTGCTTCCCAAGATGTGTTTTTTAGAGGGAGATCAGTAGGAGTGAATCAGCCCAAGAGATCCTTTTGTAGTCTGAATAGATTCTCAGTCAAAAATCTTCTAGCAACCAAGTACCAGCTTGCAATATCCAATGGTAAATGAACTTGCAAACAATGTAAGGATTTTGAAGAAGTTGTGAAAGTAGCTGTTAGTAAGTTCAGGAGGAGCTGGGTTATAAGCACAATTTATGAATGCTCTTCTGGATGAAGTGTTTAACATTGCTGCTTTGTTACTGTATTGAGTCATGTTACCTGTGGCTCCATGCTCATTGAGATTCTGCTATGGACTGCTTTTCCTGTTCAGCCCCTCCAAATTATCCGTCACATTCTCCTTGCTAGATGAGATTGGGTTGTGCTTGGAAGAGCAGCTACATAAAGGAGTGTCATTCCTTCTTCCTCTCCACAGCTAAAACCAGGCAAATTTTGTCCTTTGCTGTTTGTGCTACCTGTAAAGCATGTCAATTGCTTTCACAGTTCCAAACTGCATTGTCCACATCTGTCTCTCTAATTTTGTTCCTAAAAATAAGTTGAGTTCTGGCAATTACACCACTTTGAGCATATTTACTTCTTCTAAGGAGAGAGCATTTCTTTTACTTAGAAAATGCCATGGAAAGTGGGGTAATGGGTTTGTAATTGTAATTGATATTGATATTTATACTGTAATTCTGACAAGGACATTTATTTGATCTAGAATTCAATATGGAGCGAAAGTTATTTGTCTTATTTAAAGTTTCCTACTGTTTCACTATTTTTTTCTTAAGTTGAGGGAACTGCATGCTCCAAGGATACAAATTAGCCATAAAATCAGTGTAATTAGGTTCCTGGAAATTGCAGTCACATTACAAAAAATACTGTACTGTACAGAGCACAGATTTGAGTTCTGTTTTGTCTTCTAGTAATACAGAATGATTATTCTTTTCTCCCAGTCAGTTTACGTAGCTTCTTTGCAGAGAATATGTTCAATCTATTCAAATGATTCATTTCTCCAAGTCTGTAGGTCTTGCTGTAATTGGTTGTAATTGAACATCAGCACAGTTATTGGCTGGTTTTGACTTCATGGGAAGTAAGAAGTTGTCCTAGTTTGTTCTGTCATTGCAATATTTCTGGTATGACCAAAGCATGTCCAATTCTCTGGTTTTGTAATGGTCAAGGTGAGCAGTGTAGGACAGCAGCAGCTGTTAGGGAATGCACAGAGATAAAATTGCAACTGCACAAAGGCACGTTCTTCATAGTTGCTGGTGAGAGATGTGTTCTGTCAGTGCTGAGCTCCACGAGGTGTGCATTAGGAAGGGACCCTTTATTTCCTCTCTTGTCTGACTTTCTATGTCATCTTGAAATTACAGTTCTGCCATTTAACACTAAGAAGTGCTATTGTTAGCATACTGTGCCCGTATGGCAAGCAGGTTGGGAAGCTTCTTATGTTCACTTCTTCCTGTAATTAACTGTGGCATGAGTAACTAGACTTCTCTCCTAGAAGTCAGAGTGTTGGCATTCATTTCATTTGTTGGAAAATACAGCTCTGAGAGTCAAAAGCAGAGTAATTCTTTCTAAAAGGATCTTTTGTGGAAAAAAAAGTGCTTTCATTCACGTCTGTTATATTTTTGTATCTTTGTAGCAAACTTTCTTCCTACAATGATTTCTGCACAGCTTTAGCAGACTGCTCCAGATGTTATGTCTTATTTTTAGCCCTACTAAACAAACACCAGAAACAGCAGGTCAGTTTTTAAATCTCTTGATTTGTATATATTAATCCTTGGATGTGTCTGTGTATTATTGTGTATAAGCTTGTTTTCAGTGACCTACTTCTATGCATTTAACAAATAAAAATTTTAAATGGTTGACAGCATTTTTAAGTAGTAAATAATTGAAATGAAATAATTTAGATTAAAATCCAAAGCAATACAGAGGACAGATAGTTGATTAACTTGTCTATCCTTTGCATGTGTAGAAAGCAAATTGTTTATTTGAGTATTTAATAATAGGAAATTATTGGGATTTCTCCTGCCCTCCTTCTCTGCAAAATGAGTGTGGATTTTTCAGAGTTAAGCAGTCTGAAAATAGAGGAAAATTTTTTCCTTGATAACTGCATAAGGTATCAGAATGTATCATCTACCAGGGAAAACCATATGCCTAGGATAGCGCATTTGAAACATTCACCTAGAAATAAATGTTTAAATTTTGACCTTCAGGGGTCAGATGTTGCTGTATTGTCCTGGTGTACCAATGATCTTTTCCTGTGTTTACTGGAGCACCAGGCTCAGGGGGTTTGGTGCAGGATCACAGTTTTAAAGACCGCCACATAGGTAAGAGTCATGTTCCCCATGTATGGTAAATTACTTAGCTCTATTGCCAGGTAAGATTTAAGAAGAAAATAATTTTTATGTAAAGCATAGATGTTCAAAGGTGCAATGAGGTTTCAAAACATAGAACATTAAATTATATTCAGGTTAGTCTTAACAGTAAGGAACTTTCTTGGCTGCTCCAGCATCTGAATTAGCTTGAGGACTTATCCTATACAATTTCTCCCAGGGTTAGTAATTCCTGAAGAACTGTTGAAAGGAGGTCTTCCGTGCTGCTATTGTTAAAGGCAGAAGGTAACCAGATCAGCTACACTGAACAATCTGTTCTCTCTCTTGCCAAATACAAAAATAATTTCTCCCTTTCCTGTTTACCTGCATCCCTGGGTTTGGTGGTAACACTCATGGAAAAGGAACAAAGATGAAGTTGGTTCTGTTCTTCTAAATGCCCGTTGATTAACATTTCTTCAGCGTATCTGAGTGTTTCTAGGTTCAGGCTGCTCTTGGATTGTATGGTCTTCAAAGACACTTTAGTTAAAAATGCTGTGTAAATGCTATGTAAATAATATGAGAAATATCAAAGGTGTGATATTTTACTAGCTTTATAGTTATTTTTCCTTGTGAGTGCTGCATTAAAAACTCAACAAATGATGAACTGGGAATAAACAGCTTAAATTGGATTAAATCTTTCTCTCAATCTTCATCTGTAATTTTAAGGGGAAGTTTACTAGGCCTCTGAGATAACAGTTTTGTGTTACAACAAATTGTAGGCTCAAACATAAATTCAAATAATTTGTTGCCAGGGAGTGCTGAGAATTTAGCTTCTCATTTGTCTACTTTATTAAGTGGTCCTAAAATACATCATTCTTCACTAGATTAGCATTGTTTTTTGTGTTAAACTGTCAGTTGTTTTATCAAAATAGAAGTTAGTAAAGAAATAGCTCGTGTTAAAAAAAACCTTAGTTATTATGTTGTGATGATTATATGTGCAGTCTTCAGAATAATTGTTTCTTGCTGCAGTTTTTAAACAAGCATGCAACTGTCAGTTGTCAGCTTAGTGAAGCCCTGCAGAAACAAGAAGAGGGGCATGGATAATGTAATGCGCCACTTTTTTCTGGAGCATATAATAAACACTACCTGTGAGGAGTGCAAATGTTTTTCCTGAGGTGTAGTTGGCACTGCTAATCTTTCTTTTAAAATGATGACAGCTAGTGAGTTATAGCATGAGTTGGGATGTGTTGAAAGGAAAACAAGTAACAGCAGTGTGAGTAAAATTGTCTGCTGGGGAAGAAGCAAAGAGGAGGATAAATCAGTATTATTAACTCAAAGCATTAAAAATCCTCAGGACTAAGAACCAATATGTTAAGAAAGGAAGTCTGTTTTCTGTATTTTCAGGTTGCAGAGTTTATGGGATCAGGTTTTTTTACTAGCAGTCATGGCAGCAGAAATCTAGTGGGGAAAAAAAAGAAAATGAGCATTCAGACTTTCTCATAAGTGTGACTTTAAAAATAAGCATTAAAGCTTGTGAAAATAAAACTGTGAGCACTGGAAATAGGATTAATGACTTGCTCCCATACCACTCACTAAATTCCACAGCTGCCACCCAAATAGTGTCTGTTTTTCTCACCACACTGCAGTTTCAGCTCTATTCTTTTTTTTTTTTTTTCTCAGCTCATTTTTCTCTTGGGTAAAAGAGTCAAAAGGGAGAGTAGTAATTTAACTCTGAGAGACTTTTCTGGGGAAATGGAGTTGGCAAGACTTACTAAATTCATGTGTAATTCCTTGGGTAAGGAAGGATTGGAAAAGCTGGATCTGCAAGGTAGGACTTGAGTATTCAGCAGTGCTTGTCTACACATCTGAAGTACGTATTCGGTTGGACTTCACTTGTCAACTTGTGGTTGGTTTTGTGGCTTACATGTGTGGAATAATAAAAAACCCCTTGGTAGTTGCCACATGCTGTGAAACCTGTCAGAGGTGTTCTTGTAAAGCCTCTACCTTGAGGATGAGCTTTGCATGCTTCTGTTTCTAGTCAGCATTGTAGACTTTTGTCCATCTCCAGAAATATTTTAACGAGATGCTGTTCCCCTTTCCCAGTTCATAATCATTTCTAAGCTTTTCAGATAAGCTATATAAAGGATGACTTCCCCAGGCTGTGGTTAATGTTATAAGTCACAAGGAAGCCATGCTTTGGGAGCAGGGAGATTGCCTAAATAGGGCAGTAGCTTCTGACACTACCCAAGCTTAGGTGGCCTTCTGTGGCCCTGCCAGCTTCAGTGTAATCTTTTATCAGTGTACAGTTAGGAATCTGTTTTCAATCCTAAGTGCATAAACACAGGGTATGCTACTAATATTTGCATAGAGGAAATCTTGTCCCTGTTGTATACAAAAGCCCCTTTATTCTTTAGCATAGCCTACTTTTTAATTAGGAAACGTTTGTAAATATCTGACAATGCTGGATGCAACAACTGCCTGTTCAGCAAAAGAATAATCACATTAGGTCACATGACAGATTCATCCAGCCTACTATTCATACTCAGCAGTGGTGGAAATCAGGTGCCTAAAGAACAGTAAAAACAGAGCAAGCACATGTGGAACTTCTTGTGTGTACTTAACCAAACCTCCAGCTCTTTCCAGTTTGGAAACTTCCTCAGCCAGCTGTAGATATGTGTGTATGCAATAAACCTTGGTTGACTTCCATGAAATTTGACAGTCTCTCCTCTGCCCCAAATAAATTTCTAACATGTTAACCATCCCTTGGTAAGGAGTTGTCATAGCAACTGTCCATTGCACAAATAATTCCTTTTGCTTGTTTTGAATTTGGCCTTTACTATCTTTATTCAGTGCCCTCAGGTATTGAAAAATTGGTAAATATTTAATCCCATCATTCACTTCACAGCACCCTTGACTTTCTAGACCTTTATCATATCCTCTCTGAGTTACCTCTTCTCCAGGCTGAAGAGCCCTTGCTTAGTTAAGAGTCCTTGCTTCCATAGTACTGTCTGATACAGAGGTTATTCCATACCATTGTGCATCTGTGTTGCTTTTCTCAGAACCTTTTGCAGTCCTGATTCCTGTATCTTTGTTTTTGAGATGAGGTAACCAGAACATGGCAATTAAGATGTGGCCATATCATAGATTTACATGCCTTCACAAGTTTATTTCCCAATAATTCCCAGTATTTTATTTGCTTTCTTGATCTCCTGTGAGCATTAAACCCCCATGTGGAATCTGTCATTATCCTGAGATTGCTCTCCAGGAGGTTATGGTTGGTTCAAAGGCTGTAATTTTATAAATGAAGGTATGTCTACTCTGTGTTTTTGCACATGCATCATTTCATGTTTATCTGCATTTAAATTTCATCTGCTGGTTTATTACCAGTTGACTACAAATCCTTTTTCTGCTCTTCATTCAGCCTTCATCTTTGCTGCTTTGAATATCTTAACATCAGCAGCAAACTCTCCCATGAAAAATAATTTTTCCTTCTGAAAGCAGACACACCACAAGTGCTTTCATGAAGGAGAATATCATAGAGTCACAGAATGGGTTAAAGCTCATTTAGTTCCAACCCTGTTGCCCTGGGCAGGGGCACTTTCCACTAGACCAGGTTGCTCAAAGCCCCATCCAACCTTGCCTTGAACCCTGCCAGTAATGGGGTAGCCACAGATTCTCTGGGCAACCTGTGCCAGTGTCTCACCACCCTCATACTGAAGAACTTCTTCCTAATATCTAGTAGAAATCTACCCTCTGTCAGTTTAAAGACATTCCCCCTTGTCTTATCACTACATGCCCTTGTGGAAAGTCCCTCTTCAGGTTCCTTGTAGGTCCCCTTTAGGTACTGGAAGCTGCTCTAAGGTCTCCCTGGAGCCTTCTCTTTTCCAGGCTGAACAAGCCCAACCTCTCTCAGCCTGTCTTCATAGGAGAGGTGCTCTAGCCATCAGAGCAGCTTAGTGGCCCTCCTCTGGACTTGCTCCAACAGGTCCACGTCCTCCTATGTTCGGGGCCTCAGAGCTGAATGCAGTGCTCCAGGTGGGGTCTCATGAGAAAGGCACAGAGTGGACGAATAACCTCCTTTGACCTTCTGGTCACACTCCTTTTGATGTAGCCCAGGACATGGTTGGCTTTCTGGGTGGCAGACTCACATTGCCGGCTCATGTTGAGCTTCTCGTCAACCAACACCCCCAAGTCCTTCCCCTTAGGACTGTTCTCAGTCCGTTCTCTGTACAGCCTGTATTTGTGCTTGGCCCACCTCTCAAGCATGTCAAGGTCCCTCTGGATGGCATCCCTCCCCTCTAGCATGTCAACTGCACCACACAGCTTGGTGTCATTGGTAAACTTGCTGAGGGTGCCCTTGATCCCAATGTCCATGTCAGTGACAAAGATGTTAAACGGTGCTGGTCTCAGGTACCAACCCCTGCGGA